GTGAGAAACGTTTAAAGAGATGGATATACTCGACATCGCTGACGAGCCCGTCTTCGACGAGCGTATCGTGAAATATGAGATGCACACGTACAATCCGTACGCTAACACGACGTTGGGACACAGCGACGAGATACGAATACCGATACAGCAACAGGATTTGTACACGTTACCGTGTGAGAGTTTTCTCTACGTTGAAGGAAAACTCGTTACTTCTGCCGATGAGAATAGAGATAACGTGTGTATAATGGGTAATAATTGTGTCGCGTTCATGTTTGATGAAATGCGATACGAGCTCGACGGAGTTGAAATCGATCGTAACAGAAACGTTGGAATAACGAGCACGATCAAAAACTATGTATCGCTGACGACGGAGAAGAGCAAGACGCTGAAATACGCATCGTGGAATCCGAATGGATATTCGTTGCTCGATGGAAACTTTAATTTTTGCGTTCCGCTCAATGCTCTTTTTGGATTCTGCGAGGACTACAAACGGATTGTAATCAACGCTCGTCACGAACTTGTATTAATACGATCGCGCAACGATAATAATTGTCTCGTTGGACGAGTCGGTGCGAATCCGACGATCGAGCTACTCAAGATACAGTGGCGAATGCCTCATGTATCTCTGAGCGAAGTCAACAAGCTGTCTCTTCTTCGAACTTTGGAAAGCGGACGATATCTGAGCGTGTGCTTCCGTTCGTGGGATCTGTACGAGTTTCCTCTGCTGCAAAACACGACCAAGCATTCCTGGGCGATCAAAGCCGCGACGCAATTGGAAAAACCGCGATACGTAATCTTCGCTCTCCAAACCGGTCGAAAAAACGTACTGTCTGAAAACGCTGCGCAATTTGACGCTTGTAAACTCACCAATGTGAGACTGCATCTGAATTCAGATTTTTATCCGTACGACGACATGAATTTGGATTTCGACAAGAGTCAATACGCTATACTGTACAATATGTATGCGCGTTTTCGCAGAGCCTATTATGGACAGGACGATACGTATTTGGACATCGATGAATTCTCGAAAGCCGGTCCGTTCGTAGTCATAGATTGTTCGCGACAAAACAACTCTGTCAAGAGCGCCACCGTTGACGTGCGAATAGAATTTGATTGTAAGGAAAATATACCGGCTAACACCACCGCCTATTGTCTCATTATACACGATCGAATGGTCGAATATAATCCGCTGAACAACATTGTGCGCAGACTCGTATGATTTTTTTTTTTATAAATTGGAGATGCGTACGCGGACATGTCAGTTTTCCGACGGTCGACGATGATGTCTGACGTACCAATTTTCGTCGATCTGCAAGATTACGCGTTCAACAACATTTTTATCGTGAAAGAGGCAGCGGTACTTCGAGATGGCGAAACGCTATCTCATTACGTATTTCGTGAACACGTACCGTGGTATCTGTTGACGAAATCGGAAAAATCGCTGGCGTGTTGGTTACGGATACACCACCACGGCTTCCAATGGGAAGATGGACACGTCTCGTACAGCCAGATGAAAAGTCTTATCAACAATGCTATTGGTACGGAACCGCCTCTGATATACGTGAAAGGACTCGAGAAGAAAAAGTGGTTGTGCGAGATTTTGGAAGATGATGTAGAGATTGAAACAATAGATGTGGATTACGAAGATATCGCACGCCTGACGAACTTGGATGTAATCGGAACCTTGCGCTGCGCGTATCACACGAGACATTGCGCTATGCGGAATGTTTGCAAATTGTACAAGTGGTGGTTTGAGCGTAACAAACGTGTAAAACAACTATGATTTATTCTAATAAAATGATGTATATCACACTCGCATGACTTTTATTCCACCTTTTACCCGTTACATAATCCACCATGTAATATGACCTATCGCTTATATCGTACATCTTTCAGACATTTATTGAACGTATATTGAACATTATCGAACACCTATCGAACTACTTTTAACATCTATTGAACGTATATCGAACGCCTCTCGTACATCTTTGAACGTCTATCGTACGTCTTTGAACGTCTATCGTACATCTATTGTACGTCTTTGAACGTCTCTCGTACGTCTATCGAACGTCTATTGTACGTCTTTGAACGTCTTTGAACGTCTCTCGTACGTCTATCGAACGTCTATTGTACGTCTTTGAACGTCTCTCGTACGTCTATCGAACGTCTATTGTACATCTTTTAACGTTTATTACTACAGCGAAATTGACGTCGAGCTGTATATAAGGTGTGCGGAAGAGAGTAATTTATCAGTTCAAAGTGTGCACGCGGTGGAGAAAAAAAAGTATAGAAAATGGAGCGTGATCAGAATAGAAAAAATTCCGAATACGAGAAGTGTAAGGATTGCGGAGTGTACCACAAGCCGATAGCTGTGGTCGAGCCTCGTCCGAGGACGACTCAAGCGCCTCCCCCCGTTCCCCTCGTAATCGTGAAAGGCGTTAGAGGCTCAGTTGAAACTAATTTTTAACATTTATCATACATTAATTTAACTTATCATGTATTGTAGGACATCCTTGTAAGATAAGTATTCACGTGTGTCGTACGTATCTTA